TATACAAGAACTAATTAAATTTATTAATATAGCCAAACAAAGAATTAAAGTCATATACAATAAACTTGAAAGTGAAAAAAGTTTCTATATAACAACAGATTATACTTTCAATCCTACTCAACCAACGGCTATAGAAATCAGCTTTTTTATAATAAATTATTCTGAAAACATTCTTACAATAGTAGACATAAAACTCAGTGAACAAGTATCCATCTTCTGGATAGAAATATTTGCAATTACTATTGTACTGGGTTGCATTCTATATAGAAGCACTATAGTATTCCATATAGACTTATTCGACCTAATCAAAGAAATAATAAATACAATAGTTCAAAAAAATAAAAGCTTTTTTGAATACAGGTTCATACAAAACCTGTATTTTATTATTTAAGTAGCATAATTAATAGTCCAATGGAAAAAATAAACAAGGAATAATACAATACTTCAACTCTTAACTCAGCTGACAAAACAGTAAAATCTGTTCTCAAAAACAATACAGAAGATAAAGCTCTTATCATATTCTTTCTTAAACATATAACAACTTTCTTCTTTTACAATAAGATAACCCAAATATTCAATAATATCCAAAAAGTACTAAGACAGATGTGAAAATAAAATTAATATATAAATAGAGTGAACTTCAGAGAAATAATACCATTCAACCCTTACAAAAAAAAAGATATAATTGAAAACATTTCACAAAACTCAAGTATTTTTGAAAATTTACTAATATATATAATTATAGATTTTGATTACATATAAAGAAAATTCATAATTAAGCTCTAAAACCTGGAACTCTTCACAATATACAAACTATATAAAAGAAAATCATAAATATATATATAAATTGTTACTTGTCCATATTGTAACAAAAGACAATACCTATATATTTTGTTACTTATATTATAGAATCAAAGTTAATATATAATTATATTAACAATATATTGTGAAATAGTTGTAAAAACAGAAAAAAAATAGAATAAATATATAAAATTTATAGAGAAAATAGATAAAAAGATCTTTGTAAGTTCTGTGGATATATAGAACAGTAGTAATACTTTCAGGTTACAATTACAAGATCTAAAGTTTAATATTACATAAAAGCTATGTAAGAAAAACAATTAGGTTGCACAAGGATAGGACTTTTAATTTCTTGTTGATCACTAGGCTAAAAAGGATCTACTGCAAGGATTGTATAAAGAAAGGTCTCTAGTTTGATTACACAAACTATGTTTAACCTAACCCCTTGATTTGAACAAGAAACAAATTTAAGGATTCTACTTTTAGGACTATAGTAATTATCTGAATATATTATTAACCCTAAACTGTATCAACAAACTTTGAGATCTTACTTCTAGAACTGCATCGATCATCTGAATATTTTCTATCCCAAACTGTATCAGTAGACTCTGAAATTTGACTATTATAGCTTGAAATATTTTAATTTAGTACTTATTTAAATAAAGGACCTGTCAAACAGGACTTGTCTATAATAATGCAAGTAGTAACAAAGAGAATATAAATTGCCTCTGAGATTTAAGTAAAAGTATTAAAATATTTGAGTAGTTAAATAACCCTTAAAGATTTAATATTAGTATATAAGCTAATATATATAATATAATAATTAAAAAACTAATATATAGTTTTAGACTAACTATACCAATAGTACTGTTAATAACTGTGTATTAATTATTTAGTTCCTAAACAGGCATGCTCTCTTACTTGAGAGGTTTCAAGTAGGTCTGTCTAGAACAAGTCATATTAATTTAATATTAATCTATATATATATATGAGATAATTGAGTTATGCTTAAAATTTAATTATCAATAAAGAGCTCATATATAATATCAGTTGCAATTTATAAAAGTAAAAAAAAAAAAAGATCTTTGTATTCTTTAAATTATAAAACTATTTCTCTAATAAAAACAAACTATTATTAAATAAAAAAAATTTAAAAAATGAAATTTAAAGAAGACTTTAATAAAAAAGTAAATATACTGCATAGTAAAGAAATAGTATTTTGAGTCTAATTAGAACCTCATAAAGATTTATGATAATAATATATTATATAAGCAATAATATTTATAGTTAAAAAAGTTTTTATATGAATTACTAAGTAATAAATTATTTTTGAATTTATATTTAAAGTTTTAGAAAAATATAAAAAGAAATAATGAATAAAGCAAAAATTTGACTGTATTAAAACATTTTATAATATATATTATATAATATGTTTAATAAAGTATATACAATATATTTAGTCTATTTAAGGATTTAAAAAATAATAAATTATAATTTGATTAATCAATAAAAATTAATAATAAAACTTCTTTCTTGCTTCAGACCTGTGAATCAATAGTGCAGTGAGTGCACAGGTCACCATCTGCGAGTTACTGGTTCAATCCCACTTGAGAACAGTATTCACAATATAGGTTACATTGTACAAGATATATGCTTATCACCATATGTATCATTGTATACAAAACACAACCTATAAATTCTAGCGTCTGACCACAGCATAACAAATTAGGTCATACAGCCTTGGCCGGTTTTAGTGCTAAGGAAACTACAAAAGATCCTACCATCTGAAATAAGTGAAAACACTAAGACAAGCTAGGAAAGATCCTGATAGACTCAAGCTTCTAATAGAACTATGAAAACATCCACCTCTTCTCAAAAAACACCCTCATGGGAGATCTGGGAGACTTTGGTCATCTGCACCAATTGAAAATATATGGGCTGTAACTTCAATTAATGGAAGATCTTATCACGATCGTGAAACCAATGGCTACCAGAGAGGATAGCTATCTACTGGGCTGGTGATTAGCATTATCGTCATGATGGAAAATGCAGGGGCAGACCCTAGGAGAAGAAATTCAGAAACAATCACCAAGATAACCAATCCAATGGGAGGATCAATCCACTATGAAGTTACCAAGGAAAACCCCTGTAGGCTATATATGAAGAGTGGTTAAGAATAAAGCAATAGAAGACTATTGGTCAATCAATGAAGGCAATACCATTGAATCACCGGGGTGTTAGCATAAGACCATAGGGCCTGCACATATCAGAGTACAACCAGCCTTCTGAGGACTAAACATGGTAAGGATCTACCATGGCACACACAAACAAGAATGTGAAACAAAAACTATAAAGAACTAAAGAACACACATCTCAAGCCTCCTGAAAAAAAAATATAATAATACAAGTTTCATAGCAGACATCAGACACTATGTAGCCCGGGTACAGCAGGCAGGGCAACTGACAAAATGGTGTCACACTGCGGCAAAATTGGGGTATTCATTGGGTAGGTAGTATAGAAAATAGGTTAATATGAATCACTCATGTAATCAATACTGTACTATTACAAATACTTAATAAATTCACTCCGGTCAAGTTGGACTTTAAAAAAAAATAATAATAATAATAATAATTCATATATTCTTATATTATTTATTATAACCTTCTTTTAAAAAAAGCCAAACACAAATTTTTTTATTGTAATATAAAATCTAAATTTTTTATTAGATAAAAAATTAATATACTAATAAAAATAGTATAATATTCTTATGGTTTTTAAATTTAAATATTTAATATTTCATAAATTTTTAAATTTAATATAATCATTAATATTATTTTTCATAATTTAAAAGACTATCAAAACTATTTAAAAATTTATATAATTTATGAGACAACATATTGAGACGATTTTATAATCGTTAATTAATTTTTTATATTATAATTTAAAAAACAGGCTTAATTATAAAAAAAATTTTCATAATTTATAATAAACCATAATTTAAGAGATATATCGCAATGACCAGCGAAGTGTAATAAAATAAACACATATACTGTAAGTAAATATTAGGCCCACACACTCGTGACTTGCGTATCAAATTCAACAAATAATATCTATTAAATAATATCACCAATGTCAGTGTTGTCTATTTCCATAGACTCAGTTGATTCCTCTCGAGATTCTGCAGAAAGAGATAACCGTCTTTTGAATTGCATAGTTAATCCTGTAGATTTACTTTTGATAAAACTTTCGACTTGCGGGTCTTCCTTCGACTTGACTTTTAAACACCACAAAGAAGAGTCTATTACCCTATCATATGATTTCGTGTAGGGAACAAATTCACTTTTATAAACAGCTTCAGGAATGTTTTCCATATTTCTAGTTCCCATATTTTTATTTTCTTCGTTTTTTAATATTTTATCAGATTCTGA